ACTTGCCTGGGATCAGTGAAACAGACACAGAAATGTGTTCGCCCCAAGCCCTACGTGGGGGAAACGGGAACTCATTTTTTTTATTTTTCCCTTATACGTTTAGAAAAAGTTCAAAAAGAGTCATATATTAGTGAAATAACAAAGACAAAAATATTTAAAAATAATTTTTATTTTTCAGGAACAATGCGTTTACAGAAACGTACGTTCGGATAATTACCTTTTAAATATTGATAATACTAAGAGTTTTTTTTTCTGTAAATAGAAAATACTGTTGCTTACTACGCTATTAATGTTTTGATTACAAGATATCTGCTAGTAATTTTTAGTCTAATTATGTGTATGTACGTTTTTACCTATCCACCGTTTTGGTTCCTTATTTGTGATTGTTAATGGTGGCACGGTGTGACACGAAGTGGAACTGAAAATAGAAAGAAAATTTGTTTATAATAGCGCACGTATTAAACAGTTTTAAAATAATATTTCTTTGGTTGTATATTAATGATTAGAAATATGTAAAACGCCTTTTAGTATTATTCTTGCAATGTATTTGCTACACACAAATACCTCCTATGTACTCGTATTAAATCACAATCTACAATGTATTAAATTTAAACAAAACTTTAAAGCTTTAAATGAATGTACAAGTTAATTAAACATTGCCTGTAATTTATGCAAATGGCTCACAAAAAAATTTTCTACGGATTCAAGCACGATAGTAGTTAAGTTAAATAAATTAAGGACGATAATTCGGATTTTAGTCCGTTACATATGTAATCTATACTAAAGTATAAAGCTGAACAGTTTGTTTGTTTGTTTGAGGCTCAAAAACTATTACTCTGAACTGAATAATTATTTTTAAACCATTTATCAAGCTAAGAAACAGTGGGTAATGTGGACAAAACGGACTAAACGAAAACAGTTCAAAATGAAAGAATGATTTCTCTTAAAATGACTTTACAAAAATGTCCATGACACTATATGCCCATCTTTTAAGATTAACTTGCATGACAGATGGGACGCGGCTTACTTCGGGGCAACAACTCAAATCTATAAGAGAAGAGGTTTGCAGAAAGAAATATTGATGATGTCCGAAGTAACTATTCTACGTGGATGAACGCACTGACACAGCTAGCTGACCTTATACGTATTAATTGTGTATCGTTCTTACGTAGTAGAAATTAACCAATAAACGCTCCACCAAAATGTTAAAAAAGGCGCGACAAAAACCCAGCGCAATGAACGTAACCTCATTCGACTTATTTCACAAGATTAATTCGAAGATTACGACCATTTGAGATGTAGAAAAAATGGAAAAGTTCCAGGATTTGTTAAGTAAGCCATTTTGGCTAGAAATGGTCGAGCCATCTAGATAGAGCAAACCAAATGAATTAAGTCTAGCCTATAAATTACTGGGTTTATGCGTTCGTATAGTTTAGACTTTTTAAAATAAAAATCGCAGTTAAGACCAATACCTATATATTAATATACGTGAATTTCCATACAGTTAAATAATATAATCCCGAAATAATAAAAAATATCATATTATCATGTATTTTTTTCACTGCTTCTGTAGCTAATTGGTTAAACGAGTTGGCGAGGTTCTGGGTTCGAATCCTGAGGAATCAATAGATTGTTTCATTCGGGTAGGGCACATAAGTGAAACGGACGCAAATCATTATCCATCTACTCCAGCATATTGCCAAGTGGGTTACTGACAGTGAAATATGTGCAGCCCTTGAACCGAACTCGTTTATTTTTTAAAGTACTTGGCTCATAATTCAGTGGAAATAAATGTGATTCATAGCAAACCGCTCTTCTGAAGAGAACTTTATGCATCCCTCGTATATAACTGTGTTATGTGTGATAGCGGAAGTGGTTCAAAAATACGTAATGGCAAGATTGGCCGGCGGTGCAAAAAGATATTATGAAATACTGTCTATAGTTTACGCGAGTAGTACACATTTAAATAAAACACTTTAACGGTTTAAAACGCGATATATTAGTTAAACTTATTTGGAAATGATTTTTAACTTCGGCCCGACGTTTCGGATGCATTGCAGCAGCCGTGGTCACGGGGAGACTCTCATCATTTTCAAATAGTTTAACTAAGATATCGCGTTTTAAACCGTTTTAAAGTGTTTTATTTAAAAGATATTATGAGTTAACAAACGTATATATGAAAACTTTATTATTGTTTATGAAGGCACTATGTAATTTAAAATTCGAAAATAAATTGAAAAACTTTGCTAACGCTGACGATGCCGGTTCAAGTCCTGCCCGAGGGGAAAATTTTTTTTTGAATTTATTATCGATTTTTAAGCGTATATATTATTAGCTGTGACAATGACTACGTCCGCGTAGAATAGTTATTTAGAGCTTAAAATTTGTTTTTGCAAACGTTTTGTTTAACTCAAAAATAATGTGTTACCCGCGACATCCTCCTCTTCCTCCCGTCGTTTTTGCAAGTTAATCTTAAATGATAGACATTTATTGTCACGGACATTTTAAGATCATTCAGAGACGTCATTCTTTTCTATCTATCATTCTTTTTTACATATTTTTGGGTTACAATTTTTTTTTTTTTATTTAATTACAAAAAACAATTTAAATTTCAATTCAATCTAGTAGTTCCCGAGGTTAGCGCGTTCAAACAAACAAAATGCGTTATATATTAGTATAGATATTATGATAGAAGATTACACAATCATAACAGGGATACGCAATTCTCGATTATTATAAAAATGTGTTATTATTTACAGATAAGCATGGGGTAACTTGATGGTAGATAATATAGCCCAGCCATACAACAGTTAATCACGATGTGCTACCGACCCATGTTGAAAAGCTATAGACTGAAACTGATTTACACTTCCCGAGCTCATCTCTCTTTTGTAATCCAGATTAATCAATTTGTTTAATTAATCTGTGAAATAGATTGAGGGAACACTGATAAATATTGTTTCGTTAAAGAAAACACACGTGCATAACAACGGAGACATTTCTGTGTCCGTTTCAATGAAGAATTTACCGATTAAAGCTTTGTGTCTATCTGACCGAAATTACTTTGAGTGTCCCGTCATATCCTTCAATACAACGCTAATAAGTAAAAAAGTATATTTATATAGTTGGTACGGGCTCATTGGTTTAATGTAGCACTGTATGGCTAATATCAAGTCGTGGGTACGATCCCTACCAGGTCCAACGTGTTTCAAATTTTTCAATTTATAATTTTATTTGGTTGGAAATCTGGATTTTGACGGGTGGTAATAGTATAGACATTCAGTCCGGGTCACGAACCAGCACAAATGAAAAAGCCGTGCAGCTTAATCGCGTTTCGGTGAGTCTGTGGATATCCGAATATCCAAAGCGAAAATAGGCCAACAGCGCATCTTGTTTAGGTGCTATAGGCTGGGGTATATCACCTACCAACAAGTAAACCGCATGCCATGTCTGTCCTCTTCTATGATAAAAAAAAATAACTTAATACGCGCAATAATTACCATCGATTTGACATAAGTATGGAATGTTGGACGCGACTGCGAATCTTAAAACCCGACCGGATAAAACAAAGGATTGTAAATTTCATTCAGAGCAGTCTGAATCCGTAACGCAACGACAAAACTACAATGGCTAGTAAGTAGCATTAACAAAAAATTCATTGTTCATACAAGTTTTTATTAATCCTATAGATATCCTTTCAGAATGGGTTCGGCTCTTACAATTGGGCGCCCGCCAGCCGCTTTCCTCTATAGACCAAGAGGTGGCTACAGTACTGGCGGATAGGATAAGTTTTAAGATAAAAAATATATCGAACACATGTTTTGTATATATTTAATGAGCTCGTTGGTCCCATAGTAGCTACAACTAATAATCAACGGGTTTTAATCAAATACTGTCTATAGTTTACGCGAGTAGTACACATTTAAATAAAACACTTTAACGGTTTAAAACGCGATATGTTAGTTAAACTTATTTGAAAATGATTTTTAACTTGGGCCCGACGTTTCGGATGCTTTGCAGCAGCCGTGTCGCCGGTCAAGCCGGTCTTCCCGTGACCACGGCTGCTGCAAAGCATCCGAAACGTCGGGCCGAAGTTAAAAATCATTTTCAAATAAGTTTAACTAACATATCGCGTTTTAAACCGTTAAAGTGTTTTATTTAAATGGGTTTTAATCAATTAATGATTCTAAAACATGTTGACATAAATTGAGCCAAGCTGTGCTTACTCAGTAAGAACCGTACACAGCTTTAGATAATTGTTTAACAAGTTAACGACACTTCCGACACTAAAAACATTTTTTCTAGTCTAGCATCCTTTTATATCTTTTTTTACTAAATGGACAGAGGACTTGAATGTTTGTCATAAAATATATTTTAGTTATTTCTATAAAATTAGACTAGACTTCGTCTGGGAATTTGGATAGTGAATGGAAGTGGAGAGGGTAGATATACCGGAATTTCGTCTAGGACACGGACCACAATCGAGAGATTAAAATGATCTGAACTTTAATAGCGATTAAATTAGTTTAGATTTCTAAACTAATTTAAGCTAATCTAAGCTAATCTAGGTCGACAGCGTATGTTAAGATGTTGTATAGCTACGCAATTTCACCTTGCATCAAGTGACCTTAAGCTTAGCTTGTCTGTCCTTCTCTATCTTATAAAACTTTAATTATCACGGCATGCATTTTTTTAATCCAGTTGCAAGTAATACACTATGATATGTAGCAGTGTGAATAACTTGCCAGTTAATGAAAACGATTAGTGAAACGGATACAGATGTGTATTTGCCTTATGCTGTACGAAGTCTTTCATAATAATTATACACTCCCGTAGCACTTGGTTCTTAAACCACAGGGAGAATTCTTGTGAATTAATTGTTTTTGTGAAGCCGTGATCACTAAAGTGGAGCAACTAAAAGGAAGGTGATCTTTAGTTCTTATGGGGAGGGAAACACTAAGAAGATTTTGCGCAATAGAAGCTGCTATTAAAAAGAAGAGTCACGAGAGCCAGAAAAGATCAGGACACAGACATTGCTGTGCAGGGGATCTCTTCGAGTTTTGGTACCATACTCCCCACGCCATACAAACAGATCCTATGTGGGGATTGATAAATTATTAATTGATTTCTCTAGGAAGAAAAAAACTATGTGTGAAAGGGACACATAAATATGTTTGTCTCATGACGCAAGGGAAATTATTTTATTAGGGTAGTTTATAATAGTATTATTATTTCTTATAATTTGAGAATTAATTAGGAGGCATCAATGCATTAAACAGAAAATAAAAGCGCGAAATTAGATTATGCAAGTTTCTTCAAAACTTGAAATTTCAATAGAGATTAATAATGGTCACATTGTCTGTAGTTTACAAGAGTAGTACACATTTAAATAGAACTATTTAAATAAAACACTTTAACGGTTTAAAACGCGATATATTAGTTAAACTTATTTGAAAAATGAGACGTGGCCACGGCTGCTGCAAAGCATCCGAAACGTCGGGCCGAAGTTAAGAATAATTTTTCAAATAAGTTTAACTACTATATCGCGTTTTAAACCATAAAAGTGTTTTATTATAATGTGTACTACTCGCGTAAAAAGTATTTAAATAGAACTAGTTTTAACGGTTTACTACGCGAAATCAATTATAATGATGGTAACTAATACATTTCGGGTTTTTAACCGTTAAAAATGTTTTGTTTAAAGGATCCTGTCATGTAATGGTGTCAGTCAGGTAACTTTTACAATAAGTATATAAGCAAAATTAGGAATACCGAATATTATTTAATATTTCTTACAATATCTAGAGAACGAAGCAATAAGAAAGTTGGTGCATTTCTATTAAATCTAACATTGTTGGCACCAACTGTGTAATACTGGGTTTTATTTTCTTTCTAACTACGTTGAAGATAAACCTTCATTGTATATTATTCATTTTATTGCATACCGTGGAGTATAAAACCCGCCACAGATGCAAGATACGTTTTATAGGAATAACTATAATCTGTTCTTTAACAAAAATACAAATTTCTGTTCATTTAGTAAGAATATCAAATACTAGCTTTTTCTTCGCTTCGCACTTCGTCCGCTTGGACTATTTATTTTGGGCATCCAATTCGTTTTGCAAATCCCTTCATCTTTATAAACTTAACCAGTTACCCACAACGTCGGTCGCATCCCTAGCCGTCGTTCTTGAAACTTTATTTAGATCATTGAAAGAGGAATACTTTTTTCGTACATATTTTTGGGGTGTCTTGAACCGTTTTCGCAGCGTACGCCTTTGAAACCCATAATGATGAATCATTTTTCCAATTTTTTTTCACATTTCTCGCTGTATCTTCGCTTGTATTAGTCAAAGGGCGACGTTTAATAGCCTTCCTCGATAAATGCTCTAATCATCACAAATAATTTTTCAATTCGAACCGGTAGTTCCTGAGACGAGCGCGTTTAAACAAACAAACAAACTCTTCAGCTTTATATATTAGTATAGATTGTGGAAAGAATGACAGACTAGGAAAATATTTTTGGTGTCAGAATTGTCGTTTTCTTCTATGTGTATGTATGTAAACGCTAATCTAAAAAGCAATGCACGGTTTTTCAGTGGAGTAAGGTGAGTTTAAAAACTTTAATACTTTTCACATGATGGAACTATATAATTTAAAAATCGAAAATAAATTGAAAAAATTTTCGACTCGGGCAGGACTTGAACCGGCATCGTCAGCTTTCCGTGCTGTTGCTCTACCAATTGAGCTACCGAGTCCTACACCTCATCGTCGAATTTTTTCAACTTATTGATACATGCACCTCTCGCGCAATGTAATTTCTACCTTAACACTTGCGTATTAAGGCTCAATGTCTTATGCTTTGCAGCTTAAGAAATCATTGAAGATGAAATTACAAAGTTATAACGTTTGAAAACATTAATATTTTTCACATGTTATTGCACATGAAGGCACTATATAATTTAAAAATCGAAAATAAATTGAAAAAATTTTTTCAAGTGTTAAGGTAGAAATTACATTGCGCGAGAGGTGCATGTATCAATAAGTTGAAAAAATTCGACGATGAGGTGTAGGACTCGGTAGCTCAATTGGTAGAGCAACAGCACGGAAAGCTGACGATGCCGGTTCAAGTCCTGCCCGAGTCGAAAATTTTTTCAATTTATTTTCGATTTTTAAATTATATAGTGCCTTCATGTGCAATAACATGTGAAAAATATTAATGTTTTCAAATGATGGAACTATCGGAATAAATTGCAAAAAATTATAACTCGGGCAGAATTTGAACCAGTACTTTCAGCGTTCCGTGCTGTTCTCAATTGGTTAGAGCAACAGCAAGTAACGCTGACGATGCCGCTTCAAATCCTGCTCAAGTCGTAGTTTTTATTTTTCAATTGTTTTTCGATTTTTAATTTTTATAATCTTGAGATAATTTTATACCAATTAAAGTCATATCAAGGTATCATTGCAGTCAAAACACACACCTATATATGTCAAGATTTCCAGATAAAGTCCAATGTTTTAGAAATTATGAAATGATTTAACCCAAATCTATAAATGGCCGGCCATTCACCCGGTGGGGATCGAATCCAAGACACGCTGATTATCACTATTGCTACTATTAGACACTTTCGTTTAAAAACACACGTTTTCACTTTAAAATACATTTTTAAACATAAGTAATACAAATATTTGTATGTACCATTCGCGTAAATCGCAATAAAACTAAGTTTAAACATAACAACAAAAAAATACTCACCTCTAAGAACTGTTGAGCAAACTATCCCTGGTGTTAGTCGCTTCTTCAAAAAATCTGAAATTATTATTAGAATATGTTAAACATGTATATACAGTTGAAAAAAAAAGTGAATTTACCTACTATTTACTTTACTTTAGATTATTGACTTTTTATTTTCATAGAGAATGGACATGGAGCTTATAAGTTTTCAAACGCTACGGCGTAGACCATGCTACGACTGGTGGATCCAAAATCTTTCCTCTATTTTGGGCAAGACACATTTTCATGCTTATTTCACTCACTAATTTAATATACAAAAAAAATTGTTAACTCTTGTGCCATATAAACCTAGATTAATATTTTAACAAAATAGTATTTCTTGGGTTTTGAGTCAAAGACTTCTCAAGCTAAGCGGGTTCGACAAGGGAGATTTTAAACAATTCATTCACCCAAATTGTAGTATTAATATAATAAATTATATAAGCAAAAGTGCGTTTGTTATAATTTCAAAATTGTCAAATTTAAGATTAAATTCTGTTTTTAGTTCACACGAGTAGTACACATTTAAATAAAACACTTTAACGGTTTAAAACGCGATATATTAGTTAAACTTATTTGAAAATGATTTTTAACGTCGGGCCGAAGTTAAAAATCATTTTCAAATAAGTTTAACTAATATATCGCGTTTTAAACCGTTAAAGTGTTTTATTTAAAAAATATAAGATTCCCTGTTTATTATCTCTCATTTCAAATTCTTAATTGTGGGATATCAAAACTTTATTATTTGGTATGGCAAGTATAAAATGACACTTCTCTTAGATTTATTAAACAATAATTCCCAAGAAAAAGAGCGTAATTTTATTTTTTGTAATATATATAACAAAGTATAAACACGTATTTACAATTCATATGAACGTAGAAAAAATACTAACCTCTTACTTTTGTAGAAATTCCTTTGTGAAATCACCAAAACAGCTGCTAGACTGCAAAATCTAAAAATCTTATTCCTTATATTAATATATAGACATATACAAATTGCATATTGAATATCTGAATTATCAATATAAAATTCTTATTATATAAAAAATCGGTCACCTCAACTTATAATAATTAAAATGAATGTAAAAATTAAACGATACCTCAAGAATATCCAGCCAGACATTCAAGAGGTATAAAATACTAAAAAATAAAATTATTAAAAGAGAAACGAAATAAGTTACACTAATACCTAATTTTAACCTAGAAATGTTGTACTACTTATAATAAATGATTACAAATTTATATAATTTAAAAATCGAAAATAAATTTAAAAAAAATTTCGGCTCGGGCAGGACTTGAACCGGCATCGTCAGCGTTCCGTTCTGTTACTCTACGAATTGAGCTACCGAGTCAGTCAATCCGACTCGGTAGCTCAAAAGTGCCATCATGTGCAATAACATGTAAAAATATAAAAGTTTTCAAAATTTATTCCAGATAATCCTCCAGATCACCCTTTTATCCCACAGCTGGGAATAAATGGGATAGAAGAGTAAAGAAAAGGCTGGCGAGTTCTAAAACCCAGAACCACATTAGCTAACGACGATTTTATATTATCATAATACGTCGATGTTTTTCTGTTTTGTCGAGTCACCGTCGGGAGATTCGTAAATGGTTTATATATGATAGTTCATATGTTCCAGACTACAAACGAGGATTTTTATAATGATGAAAATCGAAGGTTGTCTCCGACTTACACGAAACACTGCAACCTTTTTAAATACTGTGCGTGGTTTACGCGAGTAGTATACTTTTAAATAAAACACTAGCGGTTTAAAATGCGTTATATATTATCTAAAGTTATTTGAAAATTATTTTAAGTACGCCCCGACGTTTCGAATAAGTTTAACTATATATCGCGTTTTTAACCGTTAAAGTGTTTTATTTAACGTTTTTTTTTTACTTATATATGTTGCTATAAGTCTAAGATTAATATTTTTTAGTTTAGCGGCATGTAAAAAATTCTTAGTGTTTGGGTCATTTTAGGGAGAGAACTCCATAAAGTTATTATTATTAAACAGTGAGTCTTTGTATTGAATACACTAAGTTTACAAGGAGGATAAGATTACCAGCGACATTAATCGTACTTTTTAGAGATCATATGATCTTCATATGAATTAAAATTTCTTATCACTTTAATGAGAAATCCAGAAAGAAGTTTTTCTGGATATTTCTATGTATATATACTATAACATCGAAGTACGATATGCAGTCGTCCTATTATTACCTCTATGCGCGATGGCTATGATCTCCCTCATGCTGTGTTCAGTCTCTGGGGGTTCTGGATGGGGATCAGCCGCTCGCGCCAGGATCTGGCGCACGACGTCACGTGGGGGCGTCCCCAGTGGCGTAGGACGTGTTGATAAACCCAGCTAGAAGTATATAGTCCACTGTTAAATAATTATGTATAAGTTTTCCCGGGTTTTAAACTCAGGACATTTCCTGTTCCCATTTACCATATATAGAAACTTGAAGGAAACTATCTTAACATCAAAGACATAACAGTGTAAATAACTGTAACTTTATAAAAATATTGTAATGTCAACGCCATCTCTCGGTTTAAAAGTGTATACTTATCTACTCTGTGTCTTGTCAATATTAAAGATTAGATTAATAAACAGATCATAAGCTATAAAAACTAACTTAAAATGCTGAAAATTTTATTCAGTAAGTTTTTGGATGGTAAAACAAAGCCCAATTTTCAGTTAAGTACAAGTCCTACTGATTTTCAGGTGCTAAAATTTTAAACTGTAACACTAACATATGGAAAGAAAATATGTATTTGATGTTTCCAACTACGTCTTTGCTAACAAATAAATATCAGGATGCAAAATATGAAAGGAAAGGAAACGTCGGGCCATCGTTAAAATGATTTGTAAATAAGTTTAACTGATACATTTCGCGGTTTTAAACCGTTAAAAGGGTTTTATTAAATGTGTACTACTCGCGTGTACATACAGTATTTACAAAGCTTTCTTGGGGACTATGATAATAATATGTTTTTGTGAGTAAGTAGCGTTTTTAGAAAAATTTCATTACTTTAGGATTTTTGTCTGTTTCCTTAGCAACATACCTAATTACATACTGTCTGTAGTTGACGCGAGTAGTACACATTTAAATAAAACACGGTTTAGTCGTTCGATTTGCCGCATAGTGACATATTCGCAAGCCATTAGTTAATTGTTTAGCATTTTACATTTTTTTTACTTTTACTAATAATAGTTTTTATTGTTAACTAATAATGGTTTTTACAATAAGATTTATTTCACATTCTCTTTTTTTCAAAGGAGGGAATATTGTAGGCACTTAGCAACTACAGCCTGACCCCGATAGACGACATGGTTTGGTTAATCCTGACATGTCATCAAAACAGATTGTACTTGCACATGTGTGTGGCTTTGTAGCACGACCACACACACATAGAAAAAGCGTGTATAAATACCGATTTGTGTTAGTGGTTAATAAAGAATTACAATTAGATGCCTTCGCTACATTATGTCAAAAAACACAAAGTCACACACAAACGTCACAAAAAATGAATGAATGAAAAAAATGTCACAAAGTCGAAGTCGAATAGGAACACTTATGAACATCACATCAGTTCAAAACCAAAGACAAACAAATCAAAAAGTTGTTAAATGAAGGACGTAAAACGAACGAGAAGAACTGGCAAAAAACTCGAAACATATTAGGTTAACTTATTCACAAATTATTCGTAAAGAAATTTGTAGATAAGTTTATTTAATAAAACTCGCGTTTTAAACTGTTAAAGTAAATAATTAGAAAATATCTGTAATATGTGTAAATTCGGCTCACCTTGGCTAATATTTGTGTCTTTATGTGTTCGAGTCGTGCGGGCTCGAGTGGTCGCGTGGCGGCGGCGCGCGCCCATGGGCCCGGCGCGAGCGCGAGCGCCGCGCACACGAGGAGGCAGGCGCGCATGGGCGCCTAGCCGAGAGCGGTTAGCCCGCGCCATCGGCACCGCGCCTTCGGAACATCTCGGCGCCTTCAAAGGAAACAATACAATGAAAGACAATAGACAATTTGCCCACCACTTTATTGGAGCTTATAGTTAAATAGAGGTAATGTTACATTAATTCCCAGTGAGCTACAAATTGGTATGAATGTTCAATATTACTATAAACGAACTTTGAAAAGTCCCTTTCAAGACCCTTGTGCAATTTTTATTGATGGAGTTTACAAAAATTGGTTTTTCGCGGTGTTCAGCTAAACTTTACGGGCTAACAACAAAAAATGTTCTAAAATTGGAGATCATCCGGTTCTCTACAAAAATATATTCCCTTTTTTTCGTAAGTACTGCCATTTCGGTGTGGTAGTGTAAGGCAATAATCCCATGGCAATTTGTGTAGTCATTACAACATTAGAGGGAAAAAGGATATAAAAAAGAATGCCCGGTATAATTGTTTGGTCTAATGGTAGAAAAGTGTAGTTAAAAATCAACGGATCTTGGGTTCGGTTCCGACTGTGTCCAACATTGCACCGTGCACAAAAGAAAAAGTAAGTTGTATCGCGTTTCGGTTTCAGTCTGTGGATTTCCGAACATCTAAAACCAAAATAGATCGACAGCACATCTTGTCAATATAATAGGGCTGGGGTATATCATCAAGTGAACCTCGTGCTTGAAGAAAAAAAAACACATTCTTATTATAATAATGGAGAATTTCGTGTCCCAAAAATAAGAGTGTATTCCTAAGAAAATCCATGGCAGAAACGCAGAGGAGATTAAACAGTGACCGATTGAGGTGGAAATGGGTCAGACGCCGATAAATCTCATTACACAAACTGATTTTATTACAAACACTTATCTTAACGATTCTTTTAAATCTACGACGTGGGGTATTACTTGGGTTTTAATTGGATTTTCATTGTAAATAACTTTAACTTATTTTTATAAACTTAGAAGGAAGTCAATGTCTATCTGTAGTTTACGCGGGTAGTACACATTTAAATAAAACACTTTTAACGATTTAAAACGCGATATATATTACTGAAATATATTTTAACTACGTTTTGGATGCTTTGCAGCAGCCGTGGAGACGAGGGGGGGGGGGCACTAAACCTCGGTCCGTAGTTAAAATGATATTTCAGAAAATTAATTAAATTGTCAAAAAACACTGATTAACGCTCAGTTAAAGACTGTTAAGAACGGGAGGTCGTAGGTTTGTAGCCTGGGAAAACGGATGAAATAGATTCGGTCGGGCAGGGCACGTTTAAGTAAAATCTATTGATGATGATAATATGATTACAATTTACGTCTACCATGTCTAAACGTATAGGGGAAATAGTATTTTATAATTCAAAATATTTTAGGTGCGATAAATTATTTTTCTTAAACAATATTAGTTTGTATCGCATCATAAATAATATAATTTATAATAATACGATTCAACATATCATTGTCTTCCGGGCTGTCGAAGAATTAATTCTTCAACCAATCAAGGAATTAACATCTCCTGATGATGCCGTCCGCACGTGATGGCCAAGCCCGAAAGACAATGATATGCTGAACGATGGCCGTGAAAGCCTTACACAATTTATCTATAATATCTACATATATGTACATATATTTTTCTTTCATTAATGCCATTCAAAGTTAGTGGCACCGGACGCTCTGAAAACCACAATTTACGCCAAAGCCTAGTTCGTCTGCATTACCTTTCGATTTAAGCTTAGTACATAAGTTCGTTGTACTTTTCTTTGTAACTGTATTTATACACTATATTTTTTTTTCAAAATTACACGTAATTAATTTAATGCCCTAATAAACAAATTACATGCAAATCAATCCGTTTCACTTACCTTACAATATAATATGAATGGGACACTTTTGTTAATCTTTCTTACGGTGAAAGTTATACAAAATATGGTACGCAGTTCACAAGGACCTCATTCCGCGAAGGATCGGAGGAAAACTGATTATCTCTAAGGATGTTCCCGTTATATATACACAATTAGCCCGGGAAAATGCCAAAAGTTCAACTATAATTAGAAATGAAGTTGCTTTATAAATATTTGCGACGTTGTTAATGTTTTAATTATTATTATCCTATGATTTACTCTCAATATGCACTAAAAATAAAATGTTATAGATATAATTTTAAATAAATCAATTTAACGGTTTAAAACGCGATATATATTAGTTAAACTTATTTGAAAGCAATCTCCCCGTGACCACGGCTGCTACAAAGCATGCGAAAGTCGGGCCGCAGTGAAAATAATTTTCAAATAAGATTAACAAATATATCGCGTTTTAAACCGTTAAAGTGTTTTATTTAAATGTGTACCACTCCCGTGAACTTCAGACGGAAATAATTGTATTTTAATAGAAAAAAAAATAGTCTATATTAAAGAAAAATAATTTTAACTGTTTAAAACGCGAATGTTAAATGCTGCAAAGCAACCAATCGTTTGCCTGTAGATAAATGATTTATTGAATGTTTAATAATATATTTAAGTTATTTAGTATAAGTATTTAAAAGTTCTTTCTTTGCTTTGCATTCCAAGGTATGTGACAAAAATATTTATCATTATTCAGTATAGTAATAAATGTAACAATTAACCTGCCTTAACACATAAGAGGAACGCACGGTCTATCAAACACGTCGCATGGATGGTCACCTCCTTATTTATAAGAGAAATAACACAATTAATAGTACCTACTAATATTCCTAAAAGTAGTATCGTCTTATTAATAGCACTTTTGTGAAATTCCGTTTCCCTTCTTAGGCTCATTTAATTAAATAAGCCACTTTTAAAATGTATTAGTCCCCTAGTATCCACATCTGGTGCTAATCAAATGCATACAGATCGGACCGTAAAATAAATTAGTTAACTAACATTTCGGGTTTTAAAAACACAGCTAAAAGTGTTTCTTTGAACAACATTTTAAACATTAAACCTTGTAATATTGTGTCATCTATATAGATACCGGGGTAAAAATAAACCAGTATTTTTCATTCAATATATTTTTCACATGTTTTTGACATGATGGCACTATTATAAAAATCGATTTTAAAGGCAGGACTTGAACCGGCATCCACAGCGTTCCGTGCTGTTGCTCTAATATCTACAGACTCGGTAGTTTAGTCGGATTTTTTTTTCATTTTATAATCGCTTTTTAATCGATAAACCAATACTTATAATAGCTAACTCAAGTAATTAAAGTTAGGGGAAATGTATAAAGTTTCATATGAACAGATTATATGCCCACGGCCTAAATCGTAAATTTATTAACCTTCGACCTATCAACGCCGCCTACACACCACCCACGTCATTTACGCAAAATGGTGGAAGGCCCTGTCAATTTATTATCCATTTATTAATGGTTAATAAAGGATCATATTTAACGAGGTATTGGCTGGTTGATGGATCAGATATGGGGTTGTATGGAATTGGAGCTTCCCTGAATAGAAGAATATAGAGAGCCCAGTAAAGGTTCAAAAGGGTTCCCAAATCTAGTACATAATGTTAGATTTTTTGATACTGACAGACATGGGGTTGACATGATGGTAGGTAAAATACTAACATTTAAATATAGTCGACCTATTTTGATTTTGAATATTCGTAAATGCACAAAAACCGAAACGCGATTAAACTTCACGACTTTTTCATATATGAAAGATGGTTCGGGACACGGACGAAATGTTGATATTCCTACATGTTTTAGGTAAACTAGTAAATCGATTTTGGCAAACGTGTTGGTGCCGGTGGGAATTGAACCCACGGCTCCTTGATAACAATGAACCAGTGATAGCTGCTAAATGTTTTGTTCAAAAAACTTACTAACAATACTGATTTTTACAACTTTCAATACATAATGATTTTGAACTTTTCCTTAAGCGCTAGAGATCCTGGGTTCAAAGCCCTAAGAACAGAGAAATACGATAATATGGCCTAGTGTAATTTTAAGAATTTAATGTTTTTTTGGAATCGGAACGTAGTTCCTCATTTTACCATTAAGCAACGCTGCCAAAATCACACTTCAATGTTTAAATAAAACCATTAAATTATTACTTATTTTTCCGAAGTCATCGTGCATTTACTTAAACATCAGGAAAGTTCTTGTGTAAACTTGTCAGACAGTTACGCGGATCCATTATATTCGAGACGAATTATGTCTTCAAAAAAATAAACAGCCAACTTGGGAATTAGGTTAAAGAGAAAAGAAATAACTTTGCCCTTATACCTCTTCGAGTTCTTGCTTTTTAAAATAACATTTTCAATACGTACTTCGTAGTAAGTTATATATATATTTAAATAAAAAATAAACTATTTTACCTACGGCCCGACGTTTCGGATGCTTTGCAGCATAAAACAGGTGGTCATGGGGATTCTTCCCGTGACCACCTGTTATATTTAAATGTACTACGCGTAAATTACAGACAGTATTTAATTTATATACATTTCAAATTTTTTTTTTTTTATTTTTGTACCTGGTAGAGATACGACCGCCATTACACTCCTTTCATGCCATTATAAGTTTGTTTCGTATTTTATGTAAGGTCAGTCTTAAAATAAAAAAAATGGTAGTATCATAAAATAAATTAAAATAAAACACTTTTAAGCAACTTACAACGCATTATGTATTAGTTAAACGTTCCTACAAATTTATTTTAACTACCGCACGACGTTTGGGATGCTTTGCAGCAGCCGTAGTCACGGGGAAATTAAACATGGAGGGTGTTTCTAATGTCAAAGTAAAAAATTGCTACGCTAGCGCCATCTGTTCCGTCGAAGTTGGTAATTGGCGATAAGCTGGATCATTGCAGAACAAATAACGGTGTCATCGCGTTTATGCTGTTTTTTTGAGATTTAGTGTTTTCAATATGAAACCCAGGTATTATAAAACTTGGGCTATCCCCCCCCATTGAAACTTTTCAAGTCGATTCGATACGTCGGGCCGTAGTTTAAATATGTTTTTC